TAATGTACAGCAAAGAAATCTGGCAGATACCACTTTAATCAAGTAATCAAAGTAATAGGACAGATAGAAACAGGCACCACTTGATAAGGTATAGTAGGAAAAAAACAGCATCATTTCTGTGACAGTCCTGCTAAAGATGCATATTCTGAGTCTAATTATAAAGAAATATCAGACAAACCCAAATTGAGGGGCATTCTACAAATAATTGGCCTGTAATCCTCAAAAGCGTCAAGGTCATGAAAGTCATGAATGAAGAACTTTTCCAGATTGACATGAGACTAAAGAGACATGACAACTAAATGCAACACATGATTCTGGACTGGATCCTTTTGCTATAAAAAGCATCACTTGGAAAACTGGTGAAACTTTAATGCAGTCTGAAGTTTAGAAAGTATAAATGTATCAGTGTTCTTTTCCTGGTTTTGATGGCTGTATTGTGGTTATGTAGGAAAATATCCTTGTTAGCAGGAAATATACACTAAAGTGTTGGAGGGAGATGGGGCAACTTACTCTCAACTTACTCTCAAATGGTTGAGAAAAAAAGTTATTTGTACCATTCATGCAAATTTTCTGTAAGTTTGAGTTAGTTTCACAAAAACAGGTGGAAAAAAATGAAAACAAAGTTATTCTTTGGAAAAACTTTAGATGGTTTCCCACAAGTCAAGTTACCAAGGGTACTGCTACTGTTTAATATAATATTGGAAGTTCTGTACAACGATGTAAGAAAAACCCAACAAAATCAAACAAAACTAGAATAACGAACAAACAAACAAAAAACCCAACAAGGAGTAAAGGCTCTAAGCAAACATATAAAACTGTTTTTATTTGCAGAAGACATAATTATCTCTATAGAAAACCCAGCAGAATCACTAGACAACTAGGAACATCGAGAAAAGAGTTCATTAAGGTTGCCAGATGGAAAATCAATTATCTTCCTCTACAGACCTAAAGGAAATATTTGCAATGTCTAAAGTGGACATGGGATTAATATGTGAATATACAGTGAAATCTTAAATATCAGCAAGAATAAAGACAAGAAAGCCAATAGGAAAAAAATGTGCAAAGGGTATGAGTAGGCACCTCGAAAAGCATGAAGCTCTATTGACTAACAAAAATATGAAGTAACACTCGAACTCACTAGTAATCAGAGGAATGAAATTTAAAATAACCAAGAGTCCACTTAGTACCCATTAGAACTGTAAAAATTAGAAAGTTGTATAGTATCAAGTGTTGGAGTGGATAGAGGCAATAAGAACTTTCAAGTAATATTATTGAGAGTGTAAACCGCTACAGATCTGAAAAATAATCTGGCAGTATTTAGTGAAGTTAAGTGTGTATAAGCCTCATGACCTCGAAATTCCACTCGAAGTTCTTGAATAGGTTAAAAGGGAACCAGGTAAGAAGATAATTCTCTACCATGTTCATAGAAGTGGGGAATGAATAAGTAAAGTACAATGGATGCCTACTATGGAATCCTATGCAGCTGTTATAAACAATGAACTAGATTATATATATATATCAATAAGAATGGATCCTAGACACAAAGTTGACTGAAAAAAAGTAAAAACAGAATCAAATGGCAATGCCATTTATGCAAATTAAAAACACATACACTAAACAACCTGAATAATACTCCCACAAAGATGTCCATAGCTTAATCCCCTGAATCTGTGAATCCCTGGAATATGGCAAGGGATTTTAAAGATGTAGTTAAGGACCTTGAGATGGAGAGATCATCCTGGACTATATGGATAGAGCTGATGCAATTACAGAGTCTGTATAAGAGGGAGGCAGAAGTAAGTAAATATGATGACAGAAGCAAGAAGTTATAGAGATGGAAGAAGGGGCCACAAGCTCAGGAATGCTGGCAGCCTCTAGAAGCTGGAAAAGGCAAACAGACTCTTCCTGGAAGCTTCCAGAAGGAATGGAGCCCTGCCAACACTTGAATCTAGACTTCTGACCTCCAGACCTAAAAGAGAATAAATTTGTATTGTTTTATAGTAGTAATAGGAAATTTTACATAACTTTACATATTATACAAGCATACATGCATAGTTAGGAACATATATCAAGCACACATGAGTAGTGTCTTTTGAGGAGAATAGGATAGCAGACAGGGAATGAAAGCAGGTGACAAAATAAAACAAGAGAGGTGGTTAGCATGTTGATGAAAACATTGTGTTATAACCTAAAGAAGAGGATCAACTCAAGTCTCTGTAGGAATGGTCCAGCAAAGACAAACAGAAGCAGGTCACTCCGACTGCTATGCAGAAAACAGACTGGATGCTCTGATAGGCTTGGCAGATATTCTTTAAAGACTTCTCTGATATAAAATCAGTCTCCTTTGTACCTTGATTCTGTGTGCCCTCAAGAATAGGCATAAATATTTTTGGTCATCGAATGGTATATTGCTCATGGTAAATCACTCTGTTTCTCATACTAATTTAATTAGTGTGAATCAGTCTGAAGATCTACTCTGGGTAGCCTGACAAATTCAAGTTTCCAGATTCGTGAAGATGAAGACCAACCTGCACTGTGCTACCTTAACATCATATAAAGCTACTGTGCAGCCAACATCATCCATCCTAGTGCCTCTGCATCCTTCAAACTTCAGTCTTATTCCTCCTCAGATCCTGAATGCCTAGCAAAGGATCTTACACACAATAGGCACACGGTACTTGTTAGTAGCCATCCCTGCAGATCTAGTGGTTGGATTTGACGCATTCACAGTAACTGTTGGTGGAATGATGTGACCTTCCCTTTCCCTCAACTCGAACCATCTTGCCAGTTTGATTTCCCACGTCGCTTTTACCGCGGACTCAGTATTCTCTGAACATTCCATAGTCTTTCATGTCTTCTTGCCCTTGCAGATAAGTAGTGACTAGAATAGTGTTCTTTTTAAAAAGGAGGTTCAAATATTTCTTCTTGGAGATCTTCCTTGTCCCTGCATGCATTCATTTGATCAATTATTCATCCATTGACTCACTTGACAAACATTGAGCACCTTTGCAAGCTGGGCAGACTGCAAGGCATTGAAAACATGATGGCAAGCCAAACATAAAGGGTCACCACCCTCATGGAGGTCTAGTAGGGGAGATGTAGTTTAATGAACATATTATGTTCACATTGATGAGTATACAATTACTAACTGGATACATGCTGAGTTAATAAACACTGTTCTTTGAGAGCATATAACCAAGGAATCCTTTTAGATTAGGGTGGGTTGTAAGTAAAGGGGTTCAAGGAAGTCCTAAGGAACAGTGAATATCAATTTGGAGGCACGAATAAGAGTGGAAACAAACAAGAGGCATTCCAGACATAGACTAGAAGGAACAGGACAAATCTGACGAATTGAAATAGGTAGTGGAGTTGGAAGGCAGAGTACAGGAGGGAGAGTGATGCTTCGTCCGTAGCACGATGTTTTTTATGTGTCTGTAATGGCGACCCCAAAGCTTGACGCCACACTCAGGTTAGAGATGAGTCAGGGGTTCCCACTAGCCGCCCACACGGACAACCGTAATCAGGACAACAAGCCCTTCCCAAAATGCCGCGAGAACGGTCTTTCCCTCTCCAGTCCCGAGACCTCGCGAGAGTACGAAGGCGCCCGTTGTTGCCCACAATCGGGGTGCCACGCCTTCCCCGGCCTCAGAACTGCCTCCTCCTTCCTCTTTCCCCGCCTTCCACGCTGCTCTCCGCTCTCGGATTGGCTGATTGAACCGGATCAGTTTTTTTTTCCTGGCCAGAAAGTGGTTCAACAACTAGTCCTATTTTGGACCCCGCCTCCGAAGCCTGCGCACTGGACGGCTGAGTCAGGTGTCACGCGCCTCCGGCAGGAGCGCGGACGAGCCAATCAGGGGCTTGGCGTATTTTACAAATTGGGGAAGTAGCTGCAGCAGAACTCAAGTCAGGGAGAAAGCGAAGAAGTGGGGGCGACCCTGAGGGCTTCTGGGGAAGGTGCGGCACAGGGATCTTGGAAGGAATGAGGGCTGTGGAGGTTTATAAGGAAGAGAGGCAGCTCAAGGTCCCAGGGCGAAAGAGTAGGCTCAAGTTGTCTAGAGGTGGTACCAGAAGAGCGGCCTTGCAGGCGCCGAGTTTTCTAGGAGCATGGATTTGGGCCAAGGTGGGAGTATCAGGGATGTGAGGAACGGACCGAAACCTCGAACTGGCTGCCCTTGGATCCCTGAACTTGCCTTCTTTCCCATCTCAGTTGTAGCCGTCATGACCACCTTCCAAACCAAGAGGGATCCTCTCCTCCGGGGTGTATCACCCACCCCTAGCAAGATTCCGGTCCGCTCGAAGAGAGGCCCGCCTCTCCCCACAGTCAAGGCCTGCGCCCTGGACCAGGAAAACCAAGATCCAAAGGTAAGAGGGCCCTGGTAGATGAAGATAGTAGCTACAGGAAGCAGCACACAGAAGCAATGCACCCCAACGCTGAACTTTTTGTCTTTCTTTCCCCTAGAGTTTGGAGCAGAAATTCAGTATTCAGCGTCCCCTCGTTGATTCAGCAGGCCCCAGACCGAAAGCCACACATCAAACAGAGAAATCAGAGAGATTGGTGGGGAGCACTAAGCACCGGAACCCCTTGGAGGAGCTCAGGCCTAGCCCTAGGGGACAAAATGTGAGGCCTGGGCCCTCTCCCCAGACAGGTACCTGTTGGAGGCCTACAACACAGTCTCCTTGGCCGAGTGGGAGAATGGGATAGACATAGTGGGGTTTAGGGCTTTGCACTCATTCCAGTCTCCTGCTGACAATGAGTACTCATCCCTGCTTCTGGAAAGCTCTTTGCTCTCAGAAGTTCTCTCCTTCCTTCAGCAAAATGTCATCCCTTCCAAAACCTTTTCCAGCTCCCCAGTCACAATCAATTGCTCTGTGTTCTAAGAGCTTACAATACTCTTTTATAACATGTCCATACTTTGGCTTGAGTCTGTTACCTCTGTATAGTTCGATGATAGCTTCTTGAGGATGAAGTCTTTGTCTTATTCATCTCTGAGCCCCAGGACCTAGAGTATTAACTTACATAGAACAAAGTTCTGTGAACGTTTGGTGAGTTGAGTCCAATTTATGAGTCTCTTTGGCTCACTTTTGAACCTCAAGGTGACCACACTAGGGTACCTGGCCCCTCAGCCTTCCCACTTCCTGTTCCTTCTCACCATTCCTTCTCTTCCCTTGCAGAGGTTCCAGGAGTCGTAGAGTTTGTGGCTGACCCTGAGGCCCTGGCCACCATCCTGTCAGGTGAGGGGGTGAAGAGCTGTCGCCTGGGGCGCCAGCCCAGTCTGGCTCAGAGAGTACTGGTTCGAGGGAGCCAGGGAGGCACCATCCGGAGGGGCCAGGTAATGAGACAGGATATGAGGAGATCAGGCTGGGGTAGACCGAGGAGGGAATCCTAAGCTGATAGCCTGTTTTGGGGTCCTAGGGTGCCCGGGTCTCTGCATATTTGGCCCCGAGAACTCCCACACACCGACCAGACCCTGCCAGGGCTTCCTGCTTTTCGAGGCTTGAGGGACCAGGACCCTGCAGCCGGACCTTGTGTGCCCAGAGGCTTGAGGCTCTGGTGAGTGCCCTTGATGGGCTGATACTCAGTGTTTCTGGGAGCTCCTTCCAGGAACAAAGCTAGGCCTTGGGAGAGAAGATACTTCATGATGAGCCAAAAGGTTTCTATGGAGGCAGATGGGGTTGGTGGTGAGGCCTGAAAGTTTGGGGCCACCTCTGATTCTACTTTTTTCTTCTGCTTCTATGAGTCAGATTCCACCTTCAGGACCTTCCTTTCATCCCTCTGCTCGCACCAGCCTCCAGGAGCTAAGAAGAGAGACAGGCAGCAGCAGCCGGTGAGAAGGAGGGGGTCATTTTGAAAAAAATGATCCAGTGTTTGAAAAAAATGATCCAGTGTTTGATCCAATGTTTGATCCAGTTATTTGATACAAGGGTCGTTCAGAGCTGGGGCCTTCCAGTAGCTTTTGGACTTCCCATCAACCCGGGAGGGGAAGTGGGGAACCCTGTGACTGCTCAGGGTGAGCTTGTGGAATAGGATTCAGAGCTTCATAGCCAGGCCTCAGTAGGACATCAGTTTCTTCAGGTTGTTGGTGGGGGAAGGATACCAAAATGAGAGGTACTGTCTCTTGTTTAATGGCTAGACCACAGACTGTAGCAATAAATGGAATCTGGGTTTGATTCCTGACTCTTGACACTTACTAATTATGCAAGATTGCCTGAACCTCCAAGTTTCAATTTCTTTAATCTGTCAAATGAGGATAATGTTCATGTTATCATTGGAGGTGGTTGTGAGAATGAAATGAGATGACGTTTGTAAAGCAGTTAGCACAGTGCCCAGCTCATACTTCGTACTCGGTGACTGCTAGCTGCTTTTCTTATTGTCATCAGGACTTCAGTGAGCCAGGCCTCAAGATTGCTCCTGGAGACCCCAGTCCAGTCTGGTGAGTGTATCTGGCCATGGGGAGAAAACAGGGGCAGGTGGGCTGCCTACAGTATGGAGCAAGATGAGAAAGCTCAGTGGGCTGGGGGAAAGGAGAAAGGCCAGATCAGAAGGAGCTGGAGAGAGAGAGACCTTGATAGGCCAGGTTGGCCCAGTTGCATTGGCGACCAAGAAGGCGGTCCCCATTTCTAAATTCTCCCTGCCACCACCTACAAGATTTACCTTCTGCTCACTATTCTTTTCTCAGCCTAAGAGCCATCACACCCCTACTCAGGGTGCTCAGATTAATAAGTGATTATTGAGATAGTTCTGGGCTCCAAAGGAATGCTGGATGGGTCCCCACCCCTGATGAGGCAGTGGGGGCTATCAAACTGACATACCGTCTTTAGAGGTTGCAAAGCCTATGCCAGACTTTGGTGAGTGCTTCAAATGCTACAGCAAATTTCCTGTCTCCTCCTAGCTTCCTCTCTCCCTGAAGGAGAACATGAAGTTGTCACTCACTCAGATGAAGGAGGAGGGCGCCCCCTCAGTCTGGCGCAGTGGGTTCCATTAAGAGAAACCCGAGAGATAACCCACACTAGGGTGAGATGGGACCCTCTTGGGATGGAGAAAGTGGGGAAGGGAGATGCTTGGGGATTCCCCAGTAGCAACCAGCACTGAAGATTGTGGGTAGAGCCAGGCAGTCCTGGGCCTCGGATGTGAATTGGGTGTGGATTTAATCCTGATGGGCCCAAGCCCTCTCCAGACTAAGACTAGCCTCTGTTCACCAGGTATTTTGGGCCTGGGGATGAGAGGTCACAGTCTGGTATATACTCATCTCACCATCAGTTCAATGCTGAGAGAACTGATATTTGTCAACCAAAGCATTTATTCATTCACTCCACAAGTATTTATTGATCAGCTACTGTGTATCAAGCACTGTTTTAGGTTCTGGATATACAGTATTAAAAAAGTTCACATTCTAGAACGGGGAGGCAAAAAGTAAATACATTGTAAAATGTGTAGTATGTCAGATGGTGATAAATACTCTCTAAAAAAATATTAAGGCACTGAAGGGGAAGTGGAAGTGGGGGTGGGGTTTGGTATTACAATTTCAAATAGATTGGTCAGGGGATCTCATTGAGAAGATGATGTTTAAGTGAAGACCAGATGTTGAGGGAGTGAGCCATACAGATATCTGGGACAACATTCCAGGAGAACTACAGATGCAAAGGCCCTGAGGAAGGAATGTACCTAGTGTATTTAAGGATCAGCAAAAGAGAGATACCAGCAAGGCTGAACCGAGTAAGGAGAATGACAGGAAGTGAGATTAGTGCAATGACAGGATCAGACTAGGTAAGAATTTAAAAATCAGTGTAAGACCTTGGCTTTTACTTGGCATGAGTGGAAAGACATGGGGACGGGGAATGAACAAGGGAGTGATGTGATTTGATTAGGTCTTAAAAGAATCACACTGGCTGCTGTAGTGAGAGCAAGTCCTAGGAAGGTGAGGGAGTAGAGATCACTTTTCTACCTTGTTCCTTTCCACAGGACAGTCGTGACTGCAACCTGATGCCCTCCCCTGGCAGTTTGCTGCTACCATCCATTCCCTGTCCATCCCCTTTTGGACTGGCTCAGCGTGTCCCCTCCCCTAGCCCCTCAGCTCGGGTTTGTATCCACAGTTCCTAGGGGCTGTGCAGGGGCAGAACAGTCTGGCTGGGATCCCTGCTAGGCCTAGGTTTTGTCCTTGCTCAGCCACCCCCATCTCTCCCCAGAGCTCATACTCAGTGTTGCGGCGTCCCGCCCTTCACCCCAAAACCCAGTTCACGCCCATCCCATCAGCCCCCAGAGCTCAGCAGGTAAAAGAAGGCAGGGGAGGTAGCTGGCATAGGAAGGGAATGAATGGGTGCAGGGAGAGTTATGACATCTCACTTCTGTCCAGGCCCGATGTTTGAGTGGCCTCTCCCCTCATTCTTGCCCTGAAGAGCCTGCCCTGCCCTGGGTAAGTGCCCAAAGCCTTTCCATGCCGTGATCCCTCACTCTATCCTATTGGCCTGAGGCCCAGCAGTATAAGGCAGGTGGGCTCTCTGGAAAAGCTACCTAACTCTCCAACTCTCCCTGCTTCTCTGCTGTCCCTCCTAATCTCAGTCTAGGGCCTGTCTGTTAGGGACCTGATCCCTTCCTCATGAGGGTGGGACTCAGACTGGTTTTCCTGCCCCAGCCAGACTTTCTCATGTGGTCCCTCTCTTCCCGTGTGGCAGGAGCAGATTGCAGTCCGGTTATTTGACCAGGAGAGTTGTGTAAGGTTGCAGGAGGGGACTGGGAAACCACCTGTGACAAATCCTCATGGACCCCACCACAGTACACCCCCCAACCTCCAGGAGCTCAAGATGCAGGTGGGTCTGTGTGGGCAACAGCTTTGATGCCTGATGGGCAGTGACTGGGCTGGGGAAGGGAGAAACAGGAAGAGAGGGGTTATGAGAAAAAGACAGTGTGAGTAGAGACTTGAACTCACATCTTGACATCACACTGAGATATACTCTCTCCCACCCACAGCGCATCAGTATCCTGCAGCAGCTTTTGCAACAGGAGGTAGAAGGGCTGGCACGGGGCAAGTGTGCCCATCTTAATGAAGCCTCCTCTCTGGATATGGTTGAACTTCAGTCCCTGTTGGCTGAGATTCCTAGAACTCTGAATGGCCCAGAGCATAATTCAGAGGCTTTCCACCTTCCTGAACTGTTACAACAATCTGGACTGCCAAAGCCCTGCCTTTCAGAGGAGTGTGGAGAACTACAGTGCTCCCCTAGAGCAGAGCCTGAGGTAGCTCAGCTCTGCCCTATAGCAGAGCCAGGCCCCCCAGTGTCCTGTCATAGGAGGGAGCCTGAGATACCAGAGCCTACCACCCAGGAACAGCCTAAGGTATCAGAGGCCTTCCCTCTGGTAGAGCCTGGACCCCTTCAGGTCTGCCCCCAGGGGCAAACTGGACTCTCAGAGCCCTCCCCTAGGGCAGAACCTGGGGCATCAGAGGCCTGCTCCCTGGAACCTAGGAATCCAGAGTCCAGCCCACAACCCTGCTGCAGTCTGTGGGCTCCAGCGACCACCAGCGTGATATTCTCCTCTCAGCGCCCACTTTGTGCCAGCCCCCCTATCCGCTCACTCCAGTCTATGAGGCCCCCAATAGGCCAGGCAGGTAAGGAATTGGTTCGAAGGAGTTGTGAACAAATGAGGTTTTCATCTCTCACTGGGAGTGGGATCGCCTGCCCTGTACCAGGTGATCCCATGCTTTCTTTCTCCCACCTGCCCTGCCCCAGTCCAGCTCTCCTTCGGGAAGAAGGGCAGAGCTGGGCCTCCAGCCCTGTGCTCCTAATTGGTTTGGTCCTTGGTGGAGAAATGAGAAAGGCAGTAATGGTGGGAGTATAGGACTCCAGAGCCCACCCTGAACTCTCTGTGGTCCTTGGCCCCCAGGCCCCAGCAGTTTGGCTCCTGGAACCCTGGCCCTGAGGCAGCGTCTCAAAGCATGTCTGACCGCCATCCACTGCTTCCATGAGGCGCGCCTGGATGATGAGTGTGCCTTCTACACCAGCCGAGCCCCACCCTCAGTCCCCTCCAGGGTCTGCACCAACCCTGTGGCTACATTGCTGGAATGGCAGGAAGCCCTGGTGAGACTTCCATCCATAGCCAGGTTGTGCCTGTACAACAATCCTGTGAGAAGTAGGAAGTGGGGCAGGGGGCCAACCTCAGCTCCTTTACACAAGTCCGGGGAAGGGCTGTCTCCATTCAAGGATGGTTGGGCTGTGACACGGTCTTCTCTCTCTCCAGTGTTTTATTCCAGTCGGTTCTGCTGCCCTTCGGGATTCTCCGTCATGAGGCATCTGTCTTCTGCTCCTGCCCTACTCTTCTCCTTCCTTTTAGCCCTTATTTATTGTTGGTCCATGCCATGGGACTACGAACCGATGCCCTTTTGTCCTTTAATAAAGTTTCTACAATGTCGAGAATGTCTGTTTCCATCTAGTCTAACCTAGGCCAGCTACTGCTGTTGTTCTCCAGTTGCCCACATGGTGGCAGTGTCCTCCATCTTAGAGCCAGCCCTGGGTTCTCGGGATCTTCCAGGCTCCCTCACATTGGAGCTGGCCTAAAGGGAGGAAGTCATCCCACTCCTGCCCACACTACTGCTCAGCAAGCTCTATAAGTGTGTTGGGGGTCAAATGTGGGCCTTTGTAGACCTGCTGTTCTTGAGATCAGTGCCACTTTCAGGAGCTGTCAGTAACTCCCTCATCCCCTATTAGAGCTCCTCTTACAACTCTTTTCCTACATCTGGCAGAAAGCTGAGGAACCAGACCCATATCCTTGGAACCCTCTCGTGTTAGTGTTACTCTGGTTGGTGTCTCCCCACAGTGTAAGGCTCAAAGCTCCCCTGAAGCTGATACCACCCCACCTCCCCCTTTTCATATCACAGCAGAAGCCCTGAACTACTACCCTCCTCTTCTCCCCCAGAGGCAGGCCTTGCCTGGAAGAACTAAACTTTTGCCTCTGGTAGGGTGGGAGTCCTTGAGAAGAGTAAGGGAATGGGTCGGCCACTTGTCCCCACTCTGTGCTCCAGTTAAGAGGCACGCATGTTCTCTAACTTCACTTTATTGGATGAGACAACAACAGCTGTAGCCCCAGGGCCCAGCCAGGATGGGAGTGAAATGGGGACTGTACAGAATGAGTTTTAAATGCTAGGAAAAAATTCACTGGTTCCTCCAGTTCACAAGAAGGCTGCTGGACCGGGCCAAAAAAATGGAGATGAGGGGAGGTGGGGAAGTTGAGAAAAAGTCATGACAGAGGACCAGTGCCTACCCAGTCCAAACATCTCCTCCCGCCTATGTGGTCTCCTGTTTCTGGTCTCTCCCTCCCTAAATGCCAAGTCTGGCTAGTGAGATTACTCTAGCTCCCGGCGGAAGAGAGGAGCACGACCTCCGCCCCTCTCCGGACTTTACTCATAGGCCCGATGCTCACTGATGCTCCAGTTCCCTTCCCAAGCCGCTCAGCTCCTCCTCTGCCCCGGCCTCCGCTCCCCAGCCACTTATACCCCAGAGCACCAAGAGTCCGCCCATTAAGGCTTCCTCCAGGAGCAGGAGGGTTTGCTCCACTGCCAGGCTCTCAAAGGATGGGGGTGGTGCCTGGGGTGGGGCGGGTTGAAGGTGGGTAAGGAGGGGAGCCGAGGAGAAGGGGGATGCGTGGGGGATGGGGCCCGGCTCAGTCTGGGTAGATGATGAAGCCAGAAAAAGTGCTGTACTTGTTGGTGTTCCCTCCGTGCACCTTCCCGCCATCCAGCTTGATGAAGACTTCATCGCCCACATCCAGGTGCAGGATCACGCTGTTGCTGGCGTAGTCGTAGTTCTGGTCCGCGTCCTGGGCAATGGCGCTGGCCCGGACCTATCAAGAGAGAACATGACAACCCCCTGACGGCCTGTGCGGACCTGGGGTGATGAGAGGGGTCTGGCTGAGTAGGTGTAGCTAGGCCTGTGAAGCCGGCACTAGGGGAGCTGGCTGTAGTAGCTGGAGAGGACAAGTAGAGGCCAGAAGATCGCTGAGCTTCACGGGCACCACCATTCACTAGCTGTGTGACTTGGGCAAGTTTCACTTCTTCTCTGGTCCTCAATTTGAGCTATAAGGTGGAGGTAATAATAGAGACTACCTTCTAAGTCTGTTAAGATTAAATGAGTTACTACATGTGAATTACTACATATAAATGAGTTACTATATATAGAAAACACTGTAAGGCTTTGCTATTATTATCATTTAAAAAATAAAATTAGCCAATAGAATAAATTCTAAGATTCTGAACCCCATTTGGCCTCCTAAACTTGTGGTCCCTTTCCCCAGTGATAGGGCACAGATGTATCTGTGTGTATGCAAGAGTGGGAAGGTGCAATGATGCATTCTTGCCTCCCAGGTGCCTCTGGAGCCCCCATCTAGGGGTCACCTTCTGCCCCAACAGGTAGCCCCTCCTCCACTCTGGCTCCCTGCTGTTCTAAGATTCTGAACCCCATTTGGCCTCCTAAACTTGTGGTCCCTTTCCCCAGTGATAGGGCACAGATGTATCTGTGTGTATGCAAGAGTGGGAAGGTGCAATGATGCATTCTTGCCTCCCAGGTGCCTCTGGAGCCCCCATCTAGGGGTCACCTTCTGCCCCAACAGGTAGCCCCTCCTCCACTCTGGCTCCCTGCTGTTGGTCGCCTCTGGCCACTAGCCCTGCCCCCCCCGCTCTT